TTTCATCTCCTTGAAGTATACTAAACTGATACCGTACAGCTTAAGAACAAATAAGTCTTCATATAATTCTTTGAAATACACTCATGGTCATATATTTACCACGTTTTATATACGTCGTTCATTTATGCGTGCTGATAAAACGTCCTTCCACTCCGTTCCGGTTCGATGACGTAGTCGTTCAAAGTTGCGGCGTTGTTCTTATGCATATAATTGGTCATCGATAATACACATGTCAGTTCAACGACATATGCGTTTCTCTTTGTGCAAATGCGGGATAAGAGTTCAACTAATTTTATACAATGAATTTATTCTATATATACGTCACAGATGGTGTATTTTGCACTAACTCTACAGAATGATCCTCCATGGTATTTGTCTGCTGCTAAATACGCTATATGTTAATTTTCTGCATTACAACTGGCACTTCTGAATTATTGTTAATTACTAGTTTCGATTGCTAGGACAGTGTGTGTCTTTGGCGTGTCGGTTTTAGAAAAATACTCAATTTTTGATTCTCTAAGATCTAAAATGCAAGAATGATGACGATTGAGCCACGAGCATCGATTCACCGTGGATGCTCTTTCTCTGTCAAAAATTGATTATTTTTGTATATATGTATATATACATATATACAATGTATATATATACATATATACTATTTATTGTTGCCTATGTCTATAAGTGTCTATATATATAATATATGTCGGCAAGCGTCCGGAAAAAACGTAATCACAAAATACACGCTTGTATCTCTATGAGCTAATAATGCTGTATTAATATAATGCGATTACACATGTGGTTTCCTTTTTTTTATCTCTGCAATACGTAATATGAGCTACTTATTGTTTGTGTACTGACTGTCATATGTGTACTTATTTCTTTTTCAGGGCCTGTAATGCTCTCTCTCTCTCTCTCTCTCTCTCTCTCTCTCTCTCTCTCTCTCTCTATTTATGCCTTCTGCATTATTTTAGCGCGTGTGCGAATGTATACGGAAGCACGGACTATTATCTACGTTACACGAACTAACTAATCAACTAACTTAACTATATTTTCCTAATAACTACTCAGACTTCTGTTTAACATTTACCTCATATATCTCACTTATAAGAATAACGTCATGATCATATTTGTAATATCGACTACGGCGCCTACACGTCCTGCTTATTGATAATTAATACTGCTAGACGACTAGACTTGTTTCATGTAACATTCGGTTTTGTCCGCCCTTAAAATTATTATCTAATTTGACACATAATTTTCGTATACAGTCTTAACATTTATGATGATGTTTGTATTGTGCTAAAAATATGTCACAGACTACAAAATTTTTTTTTCTCCTTTCTGTAAAATTTCCTTTTTCGCATTTTGGTCAATACGTATGTTCCATATAAAGCTCCCTGTGGATTATTCGCTTGATCGCTGTGAGTAAAATAATGTGTTTATCTTTAGAATCTTCGTCACTGTTTGAATAATGCTATAATCGTGTATAATCTATGCTCGTAGAATAATATTTCTATTATATGTAAGTTGTAAATTTCATAACCAGTATAAAACGACCAGTACCAATACAATTATCACAGAGTTGTCAAGATAACGTCATATACAGTATAGAACTAGTTTTACAATGTATCTTGCTCAAAGGTTGAGAAAGTTACTTTATAGATTACTTATAAGTTACTTTTTATTATAAAAATTGAGTACAGTAAGTTCGAGCATTTTATTTTTTATATTATATTTTATTATTTGCTCCAATTTTGTACTCAATTTCTATAACAAACACATATAAAGTAACCTGAAAAGTAACTTTCTCACAATCCTAATCTTGCTATACATAAATTTTTCATGGAAGTAGATATATTATACAAATCATATAGTTACTACTATCTAATACTGTTTTAATAGTCTCAAGAAAATAAAAAAATGAGGAAATATGCACAAAAATGGCAGTGGAATTTTTATCACAAAAAAGGAAGATATGATAATATATAACAAAATCTGTCTGATTTAAATGTGTTAACCAGTTTACACAATACATTTACAATAATATATAATTACATTATATTCTTAGAAACATTTAACAATGATTTCCTATCACTAAAATAATCTGTATAAATTGCATTAATATGCATAAAAAATAAGACTATAAGTATATCGATACTTAAATCTGGCTATGAAATTTCAAACTTACTTTATCTGCTATATGGTAGTAAAGCTTCAACGCTAAGCTTACAAACAATAATGGAAGTTCACTAATATTTCATATTAACGAACATCTCTATCAGACAGCAGAAAGATGTATGTATCCAATAAATAACTAACAAAATATACAATACCAACAACAACGTACTTAATGCTAAATGTATATAAATAATTTAAGAACAATAAAACATACAAAATTTCTGTTTTCGTACCTTAGCACCGTTAATTTCTGGAAATAAAGTTTACATTACGAGATACTAATATATGATCAATATACGATCACCTCGGCAGAACATTTATCCAAAATTCTAAGACCAGTCCTCATATTGACTGCCCATGGTTCATCTCATTAAATCCGCCGCTCTTTGTCGATCTCGATGGACTTCCCGGGGATGCATTCTTTTACGATGTGAAAAACAATTGCCGGAGCTCGCGAAAGCTTTCGGACAGTAAGGACACTGATAAGGCCTCGCACCTGTGTGCTGATTTATGTGGAATTTTAAATCCTGATTTCGCTTGAATGTCTTATCACAAAGCGGGCATGCGTGCGGTCTCAAGTCCGAATGCGTTATGCTGTGGGCGCGTAACGTCGAATTCGTTGGATACACTCTCCCACATACATTACATGGAAATTGTACGCCGCTGTGGTACTCCTTGTGTCTGAACAGATTCGATTGAGTTTTAAAACTGCAAGAAATCAAATTTTCTTAGGTAATATTTGAAAATCCTTCAATAGAGTAATAACATAATTAATACATTATTAAACAGTTAAAAATATTAAAATCTTAATATTATTTTAATATGGAAACAAAAACAAATTAAAAAATTATTTTACAATAGTTTAACAATAATTCTTTAATCAAGTATTTAGGAAATAAATATTAAATTATTACGAGAATTATTACAAGAATGTAAGCGTACATTCTTCCACATATGTCGCAGCCGTACTTTCCTTTAGGCCTGTGAGTCTCTAAATGCACTTTCAGATTTCCCTTTGTAGAAATCTTTTTACTGCAAATTGGACAGATGAAGTTGCTGGACGAATTGTTATCACTATTCGTGTGAAGTACACCATTTATAGAATAAACGTGTTGAGATTGTAAAATAGGCTTTCCATCGAATCTTCTCTCTTTGGGTAAATGCGACCACAAGTGATTTTGCAAGCCAATTTGCGATATAAAAGATCGGGTACATATTGTACATTCATGCGGTTTCTCTGATAAATTGGATATAATTTTTTCACTGTCTTCGTGTGATTTAGATTCACTTTCATCTTTCTTTTCTTCGTCTTCCACTTCAGTGTTTCTATAAAAAAAATAAGATATATAAGCAAGCATACTCAGCTATCAATACAATCTTTTTTATTATTATAATT